CAGACTTGAGCGACAGAGAAGTGGGGCGAAGAAGTGGGGCAAACGAGAGCGATGGACCCAGGGTGTAGAGTTTAGGGGCCTATATGGTTAAGTGTTTTGGTGTAAGGCCCTGAATGATGCGTACCGTGAATCCTCCGGGTTCCTTATCATATGTATACTTGAAGAGTATACCCCATAACCTTAGATTGCGGCTCCTATAGTAACCATACATGTCTTGGAGGCTCCCAACCTTGTCGCGTGTGGCGGGGAACAGAGCTTGTCTCAACCCTACGCCCTAAACCCGAAGATCCTACACCCTAAGACTCTACAACTTTAGACCCTTGATAAGATCGAGTCTCGAAACGCTCAGAGCGTAAACCCCAAGACCCTATCCCGAAACGCCAAGACCCTAAGTAAACCCTTAACGCTAAGACCCTAAACCAAGAGCCTAAACCCGGAACGCCAGGACCCTAATTAAATCCTTATCGCCAAGACCCTAAGCTCCTAAACTCTAAACCCTAAGACCCTACACCCTTGCTATCCCTTGCACTTGTTTACCCTAGTGGCCAAGAGCCCTAAACCGATTGAAGTGCCAATAGACCCTCATCCCCCAGGCCCCAAACCCTAATTGTTTAGAGTTTCCCCATACGCTCCACTGTTTTTCCTTTACGGGGTTACCTTATAGAATCCTAAATATCAACCACACAAAGGAACTGCCATGGAGCCTATGGGTAAACCGCAGCATCATCATATTGCGACAGGTTCGTCAATTCTCGTGCTGGCTTTTCGCGGTGGGGCTCTCGTTGCGCCGTTCCTTCAGGGCTTCCTTAGGGTTTCTTTAAAGGTTCCTGGAAGGGCTCATTTAAAGGCCGCTGGACGGCTGCTTAGCTTTAGGCTTTAGGGTTGGGGTTTAGGGTTTAGGGCGCAGCTGCTGCGCAGGCATCAGCCTAGGGGTTGACTGCGATGGGGTGGGTGGCAAGCGAACTCTGCCATTATTAATGGGTCACTCCCAGGCCAACGCCCAAAGCCTGCCAGCCGCCCAAAACCGAAAGCTCGTCCCTGGGAGAGTGGCGACGCGGAGGCAGCAACTTAAGGTTTGCCGGATCTCACGCACTGCACGAACATTGCGGTGCAGGTGAACGCGGTATGCCTCAACTTTGAGAACAAAGCTCAGACTCTGCGAGATGTGACGATGTCCTATCCTCTTATCGTCCCCATATACCCTTAGCTAGTACGATATATACACGCCCCCCTCGTTCGAAAAACAAGCACTTATTGGAATTATTGAAGCTCCAACTCCTACTTGGAAGTCATCTCCCATAACCCGAAACCCATCTAAAACCATGATTTGACCTATACCTATAGTCTCCATTGTAGTTCCTTTTTTGTGGTTTAACAAATTATACATTAAGGATTTTATAAGGTATCCCCAAAAAGGAACTGCAATGCAGACTATAGGTAGACCCTTACAGACCCCCAAGATATATTCGACAGAGACCCGAGCCCAGCTCCTGGAGCTCTGAGCCCTGAAGCCCTCACTTCGGGTTTAGGGGTTTAGGGTT